GGCGGCTATTACAACCTGAGCCGGGCTATCAGGAAGTACTCACAGCTGTTCTAGCATCATCGGCCACTTTCTGGTACAACTCCACCGCAGCTTTGCCCATGGAGGGATTTATACCGACCTGCTCGGCCGACTGGATTCCCAGCGTAATATCTTTGACGGACATCTTCGGGGCAAAGGTGAGCTTAAAGCCATTGCTGGAAGGGGACGTGGGAATGACCCCAGGGACGACGTGGTTGTTATGAAGGACCCACGAGTCTCCAGACGATGCGGCAATGCACTCGTACAGAGTGCGCTTGTCGACACCGTACCGCATGCCGAATGCCATGGCCTCGCCGATGACACTGGTGGTGCAGATGGCGATGTAGTTGTTGGCAATCTTGCTCACCAGGCCGGTGCCTAGTTCGCCGCAGAAGCGGATTTTTTGAGGTGAACCCATCCAGCAGATGATTTCGAAGACGCGTTTCGAGATTGGATCCTCTTCCGGACCCTTGGGTCGGCCGCACATGAACGACAAGGTTCCTGCTGCTGCACCCCCAATCCCACCAGAGACGGGTGTGTCGACGAAGATTCCAGCATTGGCAGCGGCTATTTGCTGGCCGATTTCCCTGCATGTTGCAACGTCGATGGTGCTGCACTCTAGGAAGAGTCTGTCACTGTCGCCTTTCGCGGCGAGGACTCCGTTCTGTTTGTCCAAGTAGACTGCTCTGGCATGTTGTCCCATCGGAACCATTGTTATCACGGTGTGGGACTTCTCGGTTACTTCTTTGGCCGAGTTGGCAATTTCAACCGGGCCAAAGGAACCGACCTCGTCTTTCAAGCGTTGACATGCGTCCTTGGAAATATCGTAGATGTGCAGCGTCGCCGATGACGGCATCTTCCTCCGCACATTGCCTGCCATGCGGTATCCCATATTCCCAACACCTTCATAAGATGAGTTAGCCATACCGCCGTCACTTATGCGAGCCGGAATTGTCACCAATAAATCCAACATCCTCCGACATCTTGACGACCCGGCCTGTCACTGGTGGAAAGCAATTGTATCTCTGTTCAATACTGAGGGTTGATGTTGTGTTGTAGGGTTCGGCGGTTATTTCAGAGTATTTGTCTAGGGGCCGTGGTTATCTATTCAGCATCGGAGGTACATGCCTAGTCAGAGAGAAGCTAACCGAGGATCAGTAGAGAGTGCATATCCGCGTGAACGCCCTTGGCTAGCCGCTCTGATCCAACGCCAATGGGCGCACTGTACTCGGTACTGTACTCGGACTGAGTAACATTCTCCAGTCCCCCTTTCCCCCGGCCCGAGGATGTTGCGTGCCTTATGTAGATCGTGGGCCTTACCTTTTAGGGACTTGGAGTGTTCCTGGCCTACCACTGTGTCGCTTTGAACCGGTGATGGAAGGGTGATCGCGTCCTCTGCCAAGGGGCAGAAGGTTCATAAGGCATAATCTACGACATACTTGACTTGACTCATCATTACCGATGAACCTAGACAATATGGTTAGAGCTCCCTCCGCCGACGCAAGCCAAGGCTCGAGAAATTATTGTGATCCCGGTTCACTGGCGTTTACCCGCGGTAACGGTAGTGGCAGAAGCGGATAGGCGGCAGGTGGCACTTTTAGGGCGGCATTATGCCGCCGAAGCTGGGCGCCTCCTATTCGACGTCCTAACAATATAATATGGTGTTGTAAGCAGTCGGCTCCGATGCCCCACTACTAAGAACACTTACGTCAACTACACTTCCTAAATCTTGCTATCGACCCTAAATAACGCTCGATATCGACGACGATAACGAGTTTTACTATACTCTAGAATACTCTATATCGTACGAGATACGGTATTCTTTCCGATTTCTATAGTATATATAGGAGTGCTCTATATACTGTTAAGTAGATAGAGCGAGAGCAAATTTTAGCATCGTTAGCGTCCCTAACAACAGAATGCTATATGAGCGGCTGCCCCGGGCAATCTACTCGTCATCACACCAGAATGTGCCCTTCCGCTATAAGAGTCTCATCTTGAACAAGAACCTAACCTTTCCGGAGATACTTGTCATTGGCCGTGGGGAGCATGCATGTAATGCCCGCCTTCGCCACGTACCTTTTCAGAACCTTTTCAGAACCTGCGTTCTCTAACACAGCACAATGGCAGATGGTGATTCTCTAAAGAAATCCTAGATTCTGGTTAACTCCGCTTGGTCGTTGGGCTGCAGCTGTCGTTCTTGCAGGAAAATACGCAGATAGTGCGGGCCGCGAGCGGCAAGCACTCCCGATCCTCTCTAAGGACGGGTCATTCTTCTTGGCGTCTAGTGTCCAGTATCGACTCTAGGTCGGGAGCCATCCTCCCCCTTCAAATATCTCGATGAGCCGACTGTGAGAGATCCTAGAGGTCTCGGCCCTGTTCCGGCACAGCTGAATGAAGAAGGCATATATGTGGGCAAGAGCAACGTAATGTCATCACCAGCGTCGTTTCATCTTCGCGTGCATCGGCCCTGTTTCCTGGTCTTCGTTCCCCCATGCTACGTTCACACCTTAACGATGGTCCTCTCCGGGATGGTGCGAGGACAACGGTAACGTCGAAGTATCTGCGCCGACTCAAGAACTTGGTTACAACGCCTAAGGGCCATAGCAAGCATCCTTACGAAAGGCTATCGCCAGTGTCTCGCCGCTTCTGGCCCTCTCGTGCCTCTTGGATTGCTTGGTGAGGCACATATTCCCAACGTTGTTCAAGAGCTCGTCTGATGTGTGTCTCAGGGCCGAAAAAATCTACATTCCCGACCTGTGACGGGACAAGGCATTCATTCATCGGATCTTGCAATCACATCAATGGCTCCAGTGTCACGGGAGTTCCCTGAAGGCTGTATTATTGGCTGTCACCAGCCTTAAGTAATCTTCAGAAATGTTATGCAGCTTCACGAGGGGTTGTGCAGACCCAGATTCCGACTTTTGGTCATCATTTCTGCATACTACATACACGCTGTGCCAAGACGGACGCCCAACATCTCAGCTTCCAGATGAAACTTCGCGATCAAAGTCTAGTAAACCCTGCATGCCGCATGCATCGAACAGCGTGTGAGGGCTGATCTCTGGTTGATATTTCTCACAATCTCCCTCACTTTTTAGGATCTCCAACGCTCGAGTAACCGCGATGTACGTTGGCGTCAGACATGCAGCCGCGTAGACTATGATCCTGAATCCGATTGCCTTCGCTTCTGCGGACGTGAGTTTCAACGCACGGCTTCCCTGGACCATCCCATACATGACCGGCGTGTTGCTCTTTTTAAATTCCTTGCACACAGCAACGGCTTCCTCTTTTTTCGAGATGGCTTCAAGAAACGCCACATCCGCACCGGCGTCGACGGCGGCCCTCAGTCTTCGGATAGCCTCTTCGAGACCGAGGGATTGGAGTGCGTCCGTTCGAGCTATGATGACAATATCAGACTTCAGTTGTGCCCTGACCTTGACCGCAGCCCGAATTCGAGCCAGGTAGTCGCTGATAGATACAATCTCTTTTCCTGCCAGATGGCCACACTTTTTGTTCACCACTTGGTCTTCAAGGTGAAATGCTGCGACTCCAGCAGAGATGTATCCGGAAACAGTTCTGGCGACGTTGATGGCTGATCCATAACCAGTGTCTGCGTCCGCTATGAGAGGGACTTCCTTGTCAAGGTTTGCAATCATCTCAGCATTCTGCTTCATCTCAGTCATGGTGGCGAGACCTAAGTCTGCCATTCCAATGCGAGACATGCTGGTTCCTGCCCCTGTCATGTATAATGCATCAAACCCCGTCCTCAACGCCAGACGTGCGGTGAAGCCATCATAGACCCCCGGGCACACAACAATTTTGGCCGGATCAGCCAGCATTGCGCGGAGCTTTGTCGAAGTCGGCTGAGACATGTTCAGCTGGGATATCGAGGCTAAGAGAGTACTGTGCAGAGTCTATGTTGACTCTCGAGAATTTTGGTCTTATAGGCGCAACCGAAACTTGTTGATGCCCGGCGTCAAACAAACGAAACTGCAGCTGCGCGCGATCAACCCGGAGAAAGGCATATTGTTCGGATCAAAAGCATTTGTCGGTTGCTAACAAACGTGTAGTCCCGCCACCAAAACCACATTCCTCTTCTTACTGGGTCCGCTGCGAACCGAAAAGTGATGTTGCGGTCCATCAAGTTCTTTGCCGCAGGACGGCTACCGTTGCCGCGGCCGGCCCGGCCGAAAGGTGGTGTCCGACCACAGTAAACACTCCCTTCCGATCAGCGACCCTGTCAATTACCTTGTCTTTAGAGCGTTGAGATGGTGTTTCCTCATAATTCGATCTGATCCGTTGCCAGACAATTCACTATGGGTACATATCTTGATACTCTAAGCAACCGAGAAGCTAGCATTTCGTCCTAGAAGCACAACTGCATTGCTGACTTCAAGATGACTGCCCGAATAGTCCCTCAACAGGTTCATCTCGACCTGAAGCCGGAAGATCTGACCCCTTCACAGTCGAAATGTATCTTACTCTTCGAAGATGCATTTCAGACTCAAATTGTCTTCACGAGTCAATCCCGAGAAGAGCCTCGAAGCAACCTGATTGTTTTCCTCGGGATTCTAGCCGAATCTCTTCGCAGCACAAATTCCGATCAGCTTGCTGCAATGCTGGAAGAAGTCATATGGCGCTGCAAAGAACATCCAGACTTTGGTGGATACGGGTTCAGCGACAAAGACGATCTGCAGCCGGGCGAGGAAGGGGAAATCATCTTCCTTTTCTCGGCTTATCTCGAAGCTTTCAAGCATGCAGCGAGGGCAAGCCAGAGACCGGCACCATCGTCGCTGAAGCCTCCAGGCAGGCGGAGCATGACGATGACGGAGAAGATCTTTGCGTTCCACGATGTCTCCCAGCGCGGATATGTTCGACCAGGGGACATCATCCAAGTCGACGTTGATTGGGTTATAGCCTCGGAGCTTTCATGGCAGGTGTGTTTGCAGGCTACCCCATCTGACTCTGGAACGTGCGGCTTACTTCTCGTCTCTCAGGGAATGGAACGTGTCTATTCGGCCATTGGGCGCCCAGGGATATTTAGAAATGATCGGTTCTGGCTTGCAGGGGACCATCGAGTCGAGCCGCCTCTTTACAATGAACCCAAGGTCAAAGCTCTGATGGACAATTGTCGAAAGGCTAAGACAGATTTCAAAATGACGGAATTTCAAGGATTTAATGTTGGTGGTCATGTTGAAGCTTTCTACGATAGAAAAGCTAACAAATGACAGTATACAATTATGCACACCGAGTTTGTGCGAGAGAGAGCGCAGCCTGGCATGCTCATCATTGGCGCCGACTCTCATACCTGCTCGGCAGGGGCAGTCAGCTGTCTGGCTATCGGTATGGGTGCTACGGACGTCTGCATGCCTCTTGTGACAGGTCAGACATGGTTCACGGTGCCGAAGACGGTTCAGCTACGCATGATCAACAAGCCACCAAGGGGAGTGGGCGGGAAAGACACGATCTTATACATCCTGAAGCAGTTCAAGAGAAACACTATTGCTTCCGATCGAGTTGTCGAGTTCACCGGGCCCGGGATGAAGTATCTCTCATGTGATGCAAGGTTCGCAATCTCGAATATGTGCACGGTAAGTGCGTCTGTTATCTGTTCCTGCCATATCATCAACACTGATGTCTTCTAGGAATTTGGCGCCGTCACAGCGATATTCGAGTCAGATGAGAGGACGGTTGATTTTATTGAGGGTAGAAGACTTAAAAGACACAAATCGGAATCTGTCTACTTCAAGGCCGATCCTGGTGCGGAGTACGCCGCCACTGTTGACGTCGACCTGTCCGAGGTCAGGCCTTTCGTCGCGATTAACCCTTCACCGGACAATGTCGTCCCAGTAAACGAAGTGGAAGGCACTAGCCTCGATGGTTGTTTCATTGGAGCATGTACAACGGCGGAAGAAGATCTGGTCATTGGTGCACTGGTCTTGCGAGCCGGACTGGACCAAGGCCTAACGCCCGTGCCCCATGGCAGACGACTGGTGGTGCCTGGGTCAAAACCCATTCGACGCAAATTGGAACAGTTCGGTCTCCTTGATGTATACCGCCGTGCAGGCTTCAAGATTGGGGTCCCAGGCTGCAGTATGTGCGTAGGTCAAGGCGTCGACCAGGCAGCTCCCGGCGAGGTCTGGCTCTCGTCCCAGAATCGGAATTTCAAAAATCGGATGGGTCCAGGTATGATACGACGCAGCGACGAACGCTATGTGTTCAATAAATTGACTCATCGACTAGGCTCTCATGCTAACCTTGGCTCCGCTGCGACTGTGGCTGTTTCCTCCTTCTCGATGAAAATGACAGATCCAACAAAACTCCTCGAACTCATCGACATGGATCTGCTTGAAAGATATCTCGGGTATCAGCCCTTCGCAGATATAGAGGTCAGCCCATGGTCTGATGTTGTTCAATACTCGGAACCTTATGGGCAAGATCTTGAAGTTGATAATTGTGCTGAAAGCAATCCGGAATCACCTGCACCCACCTCTGACGAAGGAGGCAACCCAGACTCGGTCAACAAGGTTATTTCAGGCAAGGTGCTGAGACTAGGAGACTTTATTGACACCGATGCAGTAAGTGAAACGATTCAACGCCCGAATCATGTAACTATGAGCTAACCTCTACTAAGATAATTCCATCCAAGTTTCTGGCATCCTGCACAACAAACGAAGCACTTGGAGACCACTGTATGGAATTCTTCATGCCTGAGTTCCGACAAAGGGTCAAAGATGGCTTCAACGTTGTTGTTGGCGGCCATGGTTTCGGATGCGGCTCCTCTCGAGATGTGGCTGTGAACGCACTACTTGGCTGCGGAGTCAAGTGCGTGATTGCAAGGTCATTTGCATTCATCTACGCACGAAACCAACCCAACATTGGGCTTTTAGGGATCGTGATCGAGGATGAGTCATTCTACCTCGCCGCCCAGGATGGTCGTGAAATCAACGTTGATCTGGAACAAAACAGCGTCCATTGTGGGGCCCAAACCTTCAAGTTCAGTCTCAGTCAGATGGAGAAGCAACTCATCGCGGCTGGTGGTCTTACTGAGGCATTCAGACGATTCGGAACACGGCTTTTTGATGTCATGTGTCAACGCAGGGAAGTGGCAGCTACGGGACACAGAACCAAAGACATTGAGAGCTTCTGATGACGCAAAGGCGCCGAGTTCCAACGCCGCAGGGCCTCTGAGGGCACAATTAACTCGAGGGCGTCAAACATCCCAAGAAGATCCCGAAATCGCTCCAGGGCGTCAGTCAACTTGCTGCTCGTTGTCATTCTTTACGAGTGGGACGGCCTGGTACCTATACTGGTATATAGTTTCGAGCCTCAGGCCTGCGCTCAGGAGATCATGATGTCCTCGGTCCATGCCTGGTAGACGATTCAAAGTGTAGTTCAGGTCTCTCACCTGAGGCGCTGCGCTCTAAAGCATGACTCTACGTACTTCGCTCGTTCGATAAGCCGAACCACGAATACCATCTCTGGTCTAAATCGCTATATCTGTCCCCTGTACGGGCTGCCAAGAGTTTCATCTAGCAATTCCAGAAGTTGACCGTGTCAGAATGTAAATACGCCCACTATAACCTGATTCCACTAAATTATGGTATCGAATTACCTTTTTTATTTGACAGACCGAGCCTCGCGAACTTGGCACCGGTATCGGCTATTTAGAAACGCTGGCTGGCTTCGGTGCCAACAACAACCCACACGTGGTCCAGAGTGATCATTCTACGATTCTGCCCAGCTCGCCCATTATCTAGCGGGCAAGCTGATCGAGCTCATTGATGATGACAACCTGACATGGAGAGGGGCAGCTCTATAGCTGTTAGGTAGTGCCAATAGACCATTCCTGTCGAATCCCAGTCCCTGTACTGCCGCTTGCAAAATCCCAGCCCGCATCACTGCTATGTATGGACAAATTCGGCCCTCTTAAGCCTTACCAATGTTGTTTAATAAAGTCGATGGCCACTTTGTAACCCCTCTGGTACTCTCGCTTCTGTTGAGGATCCGACAAGTCTGCTCTGTACCAAGGTGTTAAATGACGATACTGGAAGAATCGGAAGGTTCTCACTCACCTCGAGCTCATCCAACCATGCACAGATTGAGGCCACGTCTCAACATGCTTTTCAACCTTCAAGGCGTCTCCGTAAGCGCGAACCGCATCTGCGGGCTCGTCCTTAGAAGCCAGCACCGCCATAGGAATCACGACTTTGGCAGCGTCGGCGGGATCGAGCAAAGCAGGACTGGTCGAGACCGCGACCTTGAAAGGCGTCCCAGTGCCCGAGACCAGCGCCGCTACCTTCCCACCCCAGCAATATCCAATGACGGCCCACTTTGTGACGGAAGGGTAACGCTCTTTGACAGAAGCTAGCAAACCTCCTTCTTGGGCGTCGGCCCCATCCTTTCCGAGTAGTCTCTGGACAGCCGTCTCGATACTGGCCTTGCTGGAGAGAAAAGCTTTGATTTGTGTTTCGTTCCGCTCGGTTTTCTCCGCGTACCACTCCTTCTTCATATATTCGCCCCCGAAAAGGTCGGGCACGACCACGATAGACTCAAGTTCCGAGTTGGCCAGTATATCGGCACCTTGCAGCGTCTGTGAAGTGTACCCGAACACATCATAGATGAACAAGATCCCTCCGGTGCTCGAGGAGCCACCACTCACGTCTGAATCTCGAGTATTAGAGTCACACCGGACGGGAGGAATGTCTGACTTACAAGCTCGATCACCGTCAATTGTCGTGAAACTCCCTCGCTCCTTATATACACCTTCCTCAATGACCGGCTTGGCTGTACAACAGCTTTCGCTGTATGCTGGAGACATGCTTCTTTGCAATCAGGTTGTTGACTTTGAGTATACTAAGAAACCCCAGCGAAAATAGATCTGGCTGCTAAAGTGTTAGGTAAGAGGTGTTCTATAGTCACGGAGAGGTTGTGATCTACTGACTCGATCTCAAGCCAACACCCTTTTTTTAATATTCAGGTATGATCTCCCTTACTGGACAGAGAGGACTATCAAGACACTCCCTAAGGTCTAGGCTCCGCGAGGCTCGAAGAGGCTCGATACTTTTTAAAAGCTGAATAATACACGCACTGCTGCTTGTTGAACTGGGCATTTTGGCACAATGCACCTACCTCGGACGAGCAAGGTTATGTATGCACTGCTAGATCAAGGTGGCCGACAGTATCGGCACGGTATGCCGCGGAAATCTTTCGGGCTGTTACTACGGGCCGCTTTCGGCTTTGATGGCTGGCTTCACTTGCGCCGTCGCTGGGTAGATCCCGAAAGCGATACAGTCCAATTCCCTTTATCCGCTTTTTGCTTCGTCATGATGTGATTGGTCTCGTACTAATCAAAGCGTTCTGAACCTGTTTGGCAGCTTTAATTGATCAAAACTGCCTGATATATAACTGGAAACCCTTCTGCAAGTCAGTGAACAGGCGACATCTTCCTCGGCAGATTTTCCGGAGGTCTAGAAGAAGACGAGCCTCCAGTGGTGACCCACGACCTCGAGTTAATCTTCCCGGCCTCCTGGAGTCACCATTCTGAAGAACAAGTGACTAAATCCAACATCGCAGGAGGAGTTTTCTTTGAGTCCTTACGTCTGGTGACCTGTGGACCAACCGTAGTAAGTTCGATGATGGTATGGAACTAGACGTCTAGACCTCGTATCTAAGGTGGAAACCTAGCAATAATGATCAAGGATGATACTCTTCGATGTAGTCAATATTCTGTATCAGCTTTTCGGTATTTGTTGTAGTTGGTACTAATCGTCAATTGTTCATTATTTGTCCCTTATACCGAGTCTGACTGTATGATCAAAGCTCGATCGAATGGGTTTCTACTTGTCCTGCTGCGCCGGATCATAAAGTATAGACCAGTTCCGGGTTCTCCTTGTTGGTAAGATCCACAAATCTGATTGCAAGGCGTTAGGTTCTTGCTTCAATTGTCAAACCACATGAAGGGGACTACCCTTGATTTTCGAGTTTAGTATTGCTTGGGGCTCCTCGAGCAATTGCTTTCTTTGCATTCTGTCGACGACAATACCAGTAGATGAATCCCATATCAAGTAAGCCAGCCCCCCTGTACAGTCAGTATCGGTCCTGGTCGCACCGAAGTGGCAAAGAATTTCGATTCCATGAGCGAGGTTAAGTAACGAACGGGGTTCACCAACAAACAACAATTGTTATCTCGGCGGGAACATATCGTGGTGCATCCTGGAGTCGGAAGGGTTTAGGTCCTACCGACGGTAAGCTAAGATCGCCACTCTTGCACATGATAACGGACCGATGATGTTTCCGGCGCAATAAGTCAGTAGATATAGAGCCCGCTACCGTGGTTTTCTTGGTATAAGCTACCCAGAGGTATTGGTTGAGATGAGTGACAGTAATGCCGCCCAGCCTGCTGTAGCAGCAAGTAACAAGTAGTGTTCTGCCAGTCGTGCACCTTTGTTTGATAAAGGTGATGATAAGAATCATGCCAAAGGTGGCTATGAGGACACCGACGCAGCCAAAAATGATCCGGTTATGATATCGATCGCCAAGATAACCAAGTCCGGTCAAAGTGATGATGGCAATAGCCCACGATGGAGCACTAAGGAGGAGAGACTGTTCGGCGGTGAAGCTAAATCCCACAATCTGGAAATCAAGTCGATATTTTGTAAGCAAACAAACAATTTTGTCGATGATCCACTGGTGAGATCTGGCCACTTGACTCGGGGACCGGCATGGAGTAGAAGGTTCGCTAAGGGCACATACCAGCTGGCCAAAGAAATTAGTCACACCTCCATTTGGTATGTTGGTAACAAGGGAATAGAATGCGAAGGCCCAAGTCAGGGGATCGAGTAGAGCTTCCCTGAATTGGTAGGGCTTGAATTCTTTGTTGCCGATACGTTGCTCATTTATCCTAACTCGAGCCACGGCGAGTTTTCCATCATCTTCGGTCAACCAGTGAGCGTTAAGTGGAGAATCAGGCATCATAAAGTAGAAGACGATCCAACCACCACGGTCGCGAGACCGGTGGTTAGGAAGAGTACCTTCCACGGAGCAATTAGTGGAGGGTGTGCCTTGCCGCTCACTGCAATGCCGTATGCTACAAAGCTGCCGACGATAATGCCGACTCCACTGAAGCTGAAGCAAATACCTGTTCGTGTTCCCTGTTCCGTCTTGGTATACCACTGCAGGAAGTAAGTATGATGGCGTCAGAGAATGCCATAGTGACTTTTAACTACCTGCGATGTGATCGATGCGAACCCAGGTGTCATAGCAGCTTCGAAGACACCGAGAAAGAATTTCAGGGCGGTACCTCCTCCGAAATTCTTGGTGGCTGCGAAACAGCAGAGTACCTTGTCACCTTTCAAGCCGATGTCATTGTTCATTCCCATAATGCCTGCGAAGGGCAGAGTGCATTTGTCAATGCATTTCAACGCATATGAGACGCAGAGCAGGGGCATACATGCGGGTCGATCCTTTAGAGGAGCCTCCGATTGGTTGCCTCATCCATTTTCATGTTTTCAAGGCAGAGATAGCAATTATGGCTTGGTCTGCATCGATAACATGCTTGCCACTTGATTTCGGCAGAGCGCCCATATCGACAACATTCTCATGGCGGGAGTCACGATTTGCTTTGATGGGGATCTCCTCGGTCATGATTGCCTTGACTCGCAGCCTGAAATTCTGGCCTTTCTTTTCGGTTGCGATAATGGAGTACCCCAGAATATCTCGGGGTTAAATACCTTCGGTGATGAACACGAGTCGTTGCTCGTTATCGTTCTCAGCCGAAATGGCGGAGAAGGCTTACCATACACGGCCCGACTGTCTCCCAATATACAGCATGCTCATACTTTATTCCTCCCCGGATTTGCATACCATCAGAAGACACTTCAGTCAGCGACTATTGTGAGCCGATCCCGTGCCGAAACATACTGTGCGTCTCGAAACTTGCCTTCCCATATTCTTGGACTCTTTTAGGATCATAGAGAAATTTGAGAACAAATGCATTCAGTTCGTCAGAGATAATGAGGGGTGTGACGTGCAAAGCAGAGCCATCCCGAGGTAGCAGCCGGATGGTTTTCGCAGGGAAATACTTTTCGGGATCGTTTTGGCAAAATCAACAACTTGTGAATGGGTGAGAGATCACTGGTACCCAAAATTTGCTGTCCAAGATAAGTCGGGCGACAAGTACCAGGCCGGCGGGAGAGCTTGATCCACCTCCGCGAAAGGCACGCTGGCAAAGATGTTGTCCTGTAATAAGCCATCGAATTGTGCTGGAGCGACATCGTGTTCTGGAGCGTTGGCTTCGACTTCCCATCCGTCATTGGCTTTATCTGGGTGCTCGCCGTCGCCGTCGGTGACCAGCTCCGGAGCGTGAGATTGTCGGTATGCAAGCCAAGTACCGCTCTCTCGAGCTGCGAACGACCTTGCGATCATCAAAGTATCGAATGTCAAGCTACTCGTCATGCGGGTCTTGACGCAGAGTTCGGGCGGCTTTAGAGTGAGGGTCTGATCGGCCTGGGCGCAACGCCAGAGGAACGTCAGCAGATCCGACGCGCGAGTGGCAATATCCTTTTGTTCGTGTGGAACGGAGAGCTGGCGAAGCGCGAATGCTGCCGCGGTGAATGTGACGTGGCTGTGGCTGATGTCAATGTCCGCTCGATAGGTGGAGTGAACGACGCGGAAGATGACTGCGGCTGCGTTCCATAGAATCCGAAACGTCATCAACGGGGCATGGGGAAGGAGGGAATGTGACGTGGGATCCGCAAGCACGAGGTTGATGACTTGACATGCTGTATGATGTGTTTTCAGAACCCAAGCCTTACGCTGGGGGTGGGTCGAATCGTTGATGAAAGCCAAAGTCTGCAGGGACAGCCGGGAGCTCTGGAGTCGAAGCCTGTTCATAAATGACAGACATGAGTCGAGCTCGTGCTCCAAGTTGCTGAACAGACTGTCGGCTTCTCGCATCCCGTCGAACATGGCGCTGCTTGCCGCGAGGTCCTGGGCTTGCAGCTGGTGTCTGGCCATTAGCTGAAATGCTTCGTGTGCACATTTTTGTACGACCACGTTGTCTCGCAGTTCCGACGGAATACTGTCGTACACAGTTGGCTCCAGAGACAGCGCAAAGGGGTTTAGGAGATTCGAGTATCCAAAGTCGATCGAGAGACTGGATGGATTAACGCTCAACCTGAGACAGAAGCAACACAGCGCAAACTGGCGACCTTACCTTTGAGCAACGGCAATACAAGCACACCACGTTCTGTTGCGTTCTCGTAGCTTTTCCGTCCGCGCTGTCAGCCCTTCCCGCGAGCCCTGGTTGCCCATGACCACGGTGTCTCTAGTATACTCCTCTTCTCTGCCAGGTCGATGCAGACCGAGATGGAGGGCACAGGTGAGGGCGGTATTGCACATGACCAATGACGAGTCGTTCCACAGATGGATATTTGGCAACGGCCACGTGGAGAGCAGCAACAAGGTCTGAATATTCGGCACCGTCATGGGACAGGTGCCGAATATCGACCAAACAGCCTCGCTAAGAATTGGACCCAGACGGTGTAGCAACGAGCTCTCGCGGCGATATTGCCGACTGGCCACGGCAATGATGGACCAGTAGAGCAGCGGCGACGACAGATAATACGATTCGGGCGATGTCTTTTCATCCAGGAACGGTAAGAAATGATGATAATCGTCAAAGAAGCTGGAAATCGTCAGCACAGGCCTGGGCGGCCGAGCTCCGGGAACCATGTACAGTACATTTGGAACAACTCCGTAATCCGGTCTGCTGACAGAATAACATCCCTCATTTGAGTTCTTGAGAAGGTCGACGAGGAGGTCTGCACGGTGCCGGGGAGACGCGCGGCTCCGGCTGCGTTACCGTTTGCCGTCAACTGCGGCGCGGCACTCCGGCCGGATGTCTCCTCTTCAACTGGGTTGGGGTCGCCGCGGCTGCCTGGACTGGGGCCTGAAGCACTGAGATGCTGCCGGAGTTCATTGAGCTGGTCCTGCAGTTCTTCGACCTGCGTCGTTTTGTGGACACGGCGAAATTGACGGTCGACCGTGCAGTCGAGTGCTAGACGACGGCACCTGGAGCACGGAGGTTCGCCATCGACCAATGCGCACTGAATTTTGGACTGGCGACATGCAGTGCATGCAACAGTTGCACGGCGCCGAGGACGTGTCACGGGCATGAATGAAACACCTCACTCAGATACTGTGCTCTGAGAGCCTTGGTTGTGGGCTATTTGAGGACAACGGCGGCTTCACTATCAATGTATCGCGCTATAAGAAAAAGGTGACGAGAGAAAGACGAAGTTCTAAGATCGAGCTCGGATGCGGGGGAATGATTGCCAAGTAAGATACGAGTTTGAGGCACTCGGTCTGCGCATTGCAACATACAGCGCTATAAGATACTGTACGTAACACCTACTTAGTGGATCTATCGGCCAGCCCCAATATCCGCCGTGTATCTCCGGCGTCAGTCCACTGGCTCATCTTGGCTGGGTCTGCCGCCAGGGTCATCTACATAGTAAGAAACCTCAGGAAGCCCTTCCATGGGTCCACTGCATGTCATCATAACACAGGTTGGCGGCGACTGCGTCTTCCCTAAGACGCCCAGAAAGCCGCCATCTTAAGCTCCGTTGGAGGGAACTGTCGCAGTCGCCGGATCTATGCTTGGGGCCACAGTCGAGAGCTTCCCACTTGGAGCGTCTGCTCTCTCGGCCTCAGCGCAGTTCAATTCGCAGGGCCAATCTGCATATCCCGAAGATGGCCGGTCGGCAAGACATCTCGACCTGGGTCCTTGGGCAACTCGAGACGAAACTGTCGCAGCAGAATATCACTTATGACATCGTAGAAGAGTCCAATCCGTATGACGTTGATTGGGTCGGTGGAGAAGTCGATGATGGTGGAAGACTGGTGAAAAGAATGATAATTGCGCAGACCATAGTCAATTATAATGTCGGCCGCGCCCCGGACTTCGGGCTCGATGTCCTCAACCCGTCCCTTGACGCCCTTGCCCGACAGATTGGCCGAAGAGCCCAGAAAGGTGATGCCTCCTTGAATGGCGAGCTCATTGAGCTTCTCGTGAAAAACGCCGCCTCCGATAAGCATGCCCAGGGTCCCATTGTGTGCGGTCTGTTTGAGGGTCTCGGAGTCGATATTCCGAACGAGCGGCTGGTCAGGATCGTACGGGGCGACAACGCCCAGTGGCAGGGCATTGTCGATGGTGATGGCCGCGACCATGGCTTCTTTCTCGGGAGGCAGACGGTGAATCAATTTGTGCATGGCATAACTGCCCGTGATAGCGTGTTTCTTATGCGATCCTCTCTGCTTTGCATCAAAAATCCTCTTGACGGAAGCTCCAGGGGTCGCAATCGAGGCATAACCAATGCGGCCAGGGATGATGGCTACTCCACCATTCTTCAAAACCTCGTAGACCCGGCGCACGTCGGCATCCACGTCGTGACGGCCAACGATACTCGTACCCGGGACCGCGACTGCATAGCTGGAGGAGGGCAGCTGGGCGGACATCTTGGCCACTGTAAGTACTGGGCGAATAACTCGTCAAACTGATGGGTCTTCCCCAGGATATCATGTCACGGACGAAGGCTTAAGGGCTTTCACATCTTGTGATGTAGACCACGTTTTATACGACGCTGGCCGTCGGGACAACTCCATCGGGTTGACCACTTAATATGACATCCCCATGCTCCTCGCTCATACATGTCGCATTGGTCCCGATTTCCGGCGTCCTCGATATCGCACCCTTTGGGAACGTTGTTGCTGGGGTCGAGAAGCCGTGACATGCCGAGCCCCGGAGAAAATTGGTGTTGGTGCCTCTGAGAGTGGGCGTATCGAAACTGGAGCTTGACCCGGCGCCTGAGATTGTGGTATCTTGCAAACTGAGGTGCAACCCATCTATCTGCAAGCGAGATCGGTCCGGCAAGCATCCTAAGCGGTCCAGGTGCTCAGCTTCTGTTGCCACCGCTTGGTCGGACCGCAAGCGGCAATGTTGCTGATGGGCCAATAAGTCGGCTTGTCTTAGTCGAAGCGCAAGCGGTATGCAATGAAGCGGTCACGGCCCGGGGTAGCCAAAACGCCAGACCAAATCCGCAAGTCCCACGGTGTCCCAGCCCGTCCAAAACCTGTGGAATGATAATGGGGAACTTGAATAGCGGTATCGAGACAAGGGCGTCCACTGTTCGTTCCCCATGGGGCATCCGCTTGCGGAGAGATTGGGGGATACACCGCGAATAGCCCTTGTGTTGAGTATACAACAATAATTACTTCCCCCTCTGGACAACCTAAGCCTTCGACCTCTGTAATCTTACTTTCTATCACCATTTCCGAAGCATCCTTGTTTGCACCGACAAGTCAATATGGCTGCCATGGTCACCGACGACAAAGCCTCCGTGGCCTGGGAGCAGCACATCCAAGATGTGGTTGAAGTGCAAGCCTGGCAAATGCGCACCGACGAGGAGCGTAGAGCCGAGAAGAGACTTCTCCGGAAGCTCGATATGGTCATTCTTCCAATGATGTCCATCTCATACCTCATGGCGTACTTGGTAAGAGCCCACCATTTACCAGCAATAATCTCCATGGGACTTCTAAACTCACCCATTATTTTTGGCCGGCAGGACCGTAACAATATCGGTTATGCCCGATTGATGGGTCTACAAGAAGACCTTAGGATCACGGATGGACGATTCTACAATGTCATCATGGTCTTTTGTAAGAGTCTCAGACATCCCTTCCCTCGCCATCCTCTGGACTCTCAGAAGAAACCACCCCACGCTGACGGGCTGGTCTGATCTTTTAGACGCTGGATACCTCTTCTGTATTTTTCTCGGCAACATCTCCATCCGCAGATTCGGCCCCAGAGTCATCCTGGGCTCCGCCGTTGTCATCTTCGGCGCTTTCGTCTGTGGTATGTCCCAGGCCAAGAGCTATGCTACTGTGATCGGACTCCGTTTCGGTGTGGGCGCCGCCGAGGCCTTACTGCAAGCCTCGCCCCTGTACATGTCGGTTTGGTATGGAAGAAACGAGCTCGGCAAGAGAGTTGGTAAGATAGAGACACCTAAACTTTCCGTGGAATGCTCCCCAGCTCTATTTTCTGCAACCCGCAAAGAAGCACGACGATGCTGACCGGATGTTTCCACAGCCATCTTCTATTCGTCCACGACAATTTCCGGTGTCTTTTCCGGCTTGATCTCGTATGGAATTCAAAAGAACATGGAGGGCACGAGGGGGATGGCATCATGGCAGTGGCTGTTCCTCATCGAGGGTGCCATCGCTGTCGCAGTCGGTTTGGTCAACGCGACTATCCTGCCCACCTTCCCGGATCGTCTCAAGAGCTCCCGATTCTTGACTGATATGGAGATCCGTGTGGGCCTCCAGCGAAGTCTAGGTTCGTTCACCATCCCTTACGTGCTTGCCAGACCCTTTTCTTCTCTCACGACATCTGAGCTTTTTTTCCCCGCTTTGCTGATTATCATGCTTTTCTTTGCCAGAATACAACTCTGCCGAGGTCAAGATCGAGCCGAAACAAATCCTTCAAGGTCTTAAGGACCCCAAGCTATACCTGCTGGCGCTTCTCTCGGGCACCAATGCAATGCTGCTCGCGGCCACGGGCGCCTTCCTTCCCTCCATCGTCAAGGAATTTGGATACAGCAAGCTCGACGCCCAGTTGTTCACTGTTATCCCGTACGCCTGCTCTTTTTGCAGTATGCTAGCCGTCGGCTATCTATCCGACTACTACCACTCGAAATCGTGGTTCATCATCAGCTGTTTGGCCACGGCTGGGGCTGGTTTGATCATCCTGATCAGCACCACGGGCAAAGAGATTGGCATGTTTGGCGCCTGCCTGCTCGTCGCGGGCACGTACCCGTCCGCGGTGTTACAGATCACCTGGATCCAGATCACCTTCTGTGGGGCCACGAAACGAGCATTCTCCTGGGGTTTCGCCATGGTCATCGCCCAGGGCATGAGTATGGCCGCGTCGCAGATTTACTCTAAGCCGCCCCGGTATTTCGCCGGCCACGGCACTCTCCTTGGCTTTGTCACCCTGGCTATCATCTGTACATATGCAGCGCGGGTTCTGATGATCCGCGCCAACAAAAAGAAGGACGATGAAGTCCTCGAGTACCAGAACAGAGGCGATGAGCACCCCGAAGGGGGCAAGTCTTTCGAGGAGGTCTGCGATAACCATATCAACTTTCGTTACAAGTTGTGACGTGTTGCTCGGTTCAGGATTGGACAGACCATGCTTGGCCAGGTTTTATGTTAGAGCCGAATGGTCACACAGTAAGGTCAAGACATCAACCAGACAAGTTTCGAGAGTGGGATTTCGCCATGTTGCTATCGAGCTCGACCAAATAATGGGACCATGTGAACGGGGGGACTTCTGCATTCTAGCTATCAAGTTCGACTGCATTTCTAAGGATATTGACAGGGTATAGGAGTATGTGTGGGAGCCTTGAATGTCAGAGGCTCCAGAGCTATCAGACAGCTTGATGTGATAACGGACCCCATGTTCTATGTCCCTGCCATACTCAAGCCGGTCTCGTACTGCGACCGATCTTCTCATCAATCTCTGCCTGATTCTCGAGGGGAACCCTGGTCGAGACAACATAGCGGTTGAACATATTGTACCACGATAATGTGAGCACATACTTGCAGATCGTGTCTCGATCGTATCTCTCCTTCATTCGCTTCATGGTCGGGTCTTGGATGCAGCCTTGGAGAGTAAGCTCGTCACAGGCCCGCATGATCAGGCTTGATTCCTCGTCCATCCCCGTCACCGGCCCATCACTCAGGATACCTTGGACTTCGGCCTCCGTAGCGTCCAAGTTTTCCAACATCCTCAGATTTGGACCCCATGGGTTCACGCCGCCGACGTGTTTGGCGACACGTAGAACAATGAATTCTCTTATCTTCGGGTTGACACCGGGGATGCGAAATACCGACTTGGCAAGTTTTATCATGTCGGTGCCGACCAGCCCTGCTGCCAGCATCACTGGATCAAGGAAGGGGGTCAGTAATTGTACGTTTCAGGTGACCGCAATTTGAGACGAAAGAACCCATTGGGGCGCGTAAGCAGTAGGATAGGACCGTGTCTGGGGGAGAAGGTGCATCGGCCTTTCTCAACGTTGCGCATGAACAAGAAAAGAAAAAAAAAGAGTGGGTTTCACTGACTGCGGCCATCTTTCAGGTTCCGAGCTTCGTCGTGGCAGAAGTTGGCAAGATCGACGCCCAATTCCTCATCAGTGGGGAGATCGAGGTACTCCGCATAGGGATAGCTTGTCGGATAACCGGTGATTTTGTACTTCATATTGATTGTTTGTACGCCTTGATCAAAGTACACACTTTAGCAAAGGAATACTATTGCTATTTATACCGTTGATATATCTACAGCGACTTAGGCCGAACAATTGTCAAGACTGACACTCAACGTCAGAGGTCTCATTCAGTATCGGTCTGTCGACACCCCGAGCCGAGCTCAGAACCTCATGGGCCTGTGTCTGTCTCGGGCCGAGGGCGGCTGATTCTATCATCACTCCACCCTCTGGCCACACAGGCTCAAAAGATCAGTTTCTCGACTCAGGCCGGAGTTAGGTTTGATATGGTGGCCATAGATCGGACTTAGACCGGATGTGGTGGTCCGTCCTTTATTTTTTCATCCTACTACCCTGCGCTATAGTACCTATCGATTAGTACTATTACGAATTGTTCCACAGGGTCACAAGTTCGGTTAGTATTTACTGACGGGGGAAGGTAATACTTAGGAAGTATAGTATAAGAGAAACGTCTTCTATAAATAATAGTAGTATCGATGTTATAACGAAGGCGAGAATGGATATAGGATGGTGAGACAATTCGATATATTTAGCTTAAATAAAAGCCTAATTAATTTACAATAGTTCTATAGGGTGATAATTAATAGACTAAACCTAACAATATAATATAGCAACTAGAACTAAGATACCATATAATTTTAAGGTTTTATATAACACCTTAGCGCACTTCGACTCTAGATAATACGACTTAAGATTCTAGTATATAGCTAAGGGACCTACTAATTATTATCTATATTACCTTAACTCTAGATACTACTACTCTAGCTATACTATACGCTACTATCCTCTAGCTTAGCTAATAATTTAACTCTAGATTCTACTACTCTACCTACCGAGCACCCTACTATACTCTAAATACCTACTAAAGACTTAACTATA